TACCATAAAAAAAGAAACAGAACTAAATAAATAAATAAATAAATGAATAAATTAAAAAAATTTAGTCTCAATTCTTATACTAGGATCTGACCCAACTACCCACCATCCACTGCCATAAGTCTAACAAGACACCACTCAAATTCAAGAAATCTAAATCCAAAATATCACCTTATTTATGAACCAAAATAATCCTCCCACTTCTCCATTTTTATTAATGGGTTTACCAGTCATCATAGTTTAAGGCTTTATCCCTGATTTTTCTCTCAAGTCTCTCATGCATTTATTTATTATCCACAGGCACTGTGAGACCAATGTTTTACAATACTGTATTTCTACTTCTATAGCTTATTTCTAGTTTGCTTTCCTGTCCAATGTTACCTTTAGTTGAACACAACCTGCTTAATTCACAAATTCTACCTTAATCTGATCATTTGTTGCTCATGAGCTACAATCCCTTAACCCCAAGTACCAAATCCAAAAAAGACCTAGATCAGTGGTTAAGACCACTAACTGCTCTTGCAGAGGACCTGGGTTTGGTTCTCAGCACCCACATAGCATCTAACAACTGTCCTCAACTCAATTTCCAGGGGATGTGATACCCTCGTTTGGCTTCTGTGGGCACTGCATGACATGAGTGCACTTACACACATGCAAGTAAAACATTCATACACATAAAACAAAAATTGAAAAAAAAGGTTCACCACAAGCAAGCCCCACCACACCCACCATTCACTGTACCCCAACTTCAATCTTCCATCAGTTCCCTCATTTTCTATACACATAACATTCATTCCATAAAGAAAACTAACCCTGTCTCTTTTATCAGAAATTCTAAATTCTTTTACTCACCTTTCAAAACCCAATTTAACATTTCCAGAATGTTTTCTCCCACTTTTACATCTCGTGTTTTCACTGTACTTACAGTATGATACTGTATCATAAAACACGTACCATTAGTTTAAAAGTTCTTATTCTGAGGACTCTTAGTAACTGTAAGATGCTTGCAGTCCTCCCGCTTCATCTGAGATTTCTGAGGCTTACCTCCGTATACTCTAGTGCCTATCAATGGCCTAGACACAAAAAAATTTAGTGACTGGCTAGAATATAAATACCTCGCACCAACCACAACGTCACCATTGTCCAGCACACAGCAACACCAGATAGACTGAGCTGGAAGGCGGATTGTTTGAGCACATTCCCCGTTTTTCCATATTCTTAGAGATCTATCTTCTGCTGTTGTCACGAAATCTAAAATTAGTCAAAATAGAAGAAAAAAATGTTTGGATAAAACTAAGTATATTTTTCAACATATTTTTAAAAATATTTATTATTTTTATTATTTTATGTGTATGTGTGTATTGTCTGCATGTATGTAAGTGCACCCATGTCGTGCAATGCCTGAGGAGGACAGAAGAGGCTGTCAGATCCCCTAGAACTGGAGTTATGGACAGCTGTAAGCTGTCATGTGGGTGCAGAGATCTGAACCTGGGTCTTCTACAAAAACAGCCAGTGTTCTGAACCGCTGAGCCATCTCTCCAGCCCCTATAAACATACTTTTATACACAAGTGTACTGGTCTTTTAAATCTCAATGTAACTAAAACAGTTTTAGATTTTGTCACATATATAACTTCAAAAATCACATTTTAGTCACGTGTAGTGACGCACACCTTAATCTCAGCACTTAGGAGGCAGAAGCAGGTGGATCTCTTTGAGTTCTAGGCCAGACAGAGCTACATAATAAGATTCCCTCACAAAAAATCCAAAAGAAAAAAACAAAATACATTTTTATTCATTTTACATTTCACACCCTATTCTTTGGACCAATTAATTATTCAATTCTCTTCTCAGACACCCAGAAACCTTTCTATAATATAATCATTTACTCGAGTTAGTATGACAGTAGTCACGTAAGTTTTTATATTAGGAAGAATATTTTAAGAAATAGTTACGAAATTGTTTAGTCATACAATTGACTTAAATAATCGGTTCTCCTCTCCCCATCTCAAAAATGAGATAAAACAATACACAATACAAAACTAAATATATAGCATAAGATAATCTTACCTCTACCATTTGGAAAGACAGATATGCTATAAATATAATTTGTGTGTCCGTAATATACGTCAAGACATTCACCAGTAATCTGCCACCTTCTAACACTAGCATCGTTCGCACATGAAAGAAATTCTGTTTCACTCAAAATTGCCAAACCTCTTACACAGTCTTCATGGCCTGAATTTTAAGAATAATAATATATATCAATAAAATGCATTATTAGTTTGACAGCACTACATAGTTTATTAACGTTATAAAACTAAACTTTAGATTTTTAGTAAAATCTAATTTTTCAAATACAAAAATTTTATTGTTGTTTTTATAGAAAAGCCTAGTAACCAAAATTTGTATTTTAGATTTGGTAATATTTTTTAATTACCATTCTTAGGAAGGAAGCTATTTTCCATTTATTATATCTTCTCCAAATTATTTCCTAAACCTTACAGAAATACTATTTTAATATTAACAATTCTTCATTTTCATGTGTCAATTAATTAAAAAATTTTGTTTCCTAATACCAAGAACAAAAAAAGGACCAAAAATAAAAAAGAACAATTCATAAAATATTCAAATATAACAGGACTATATAACAAAAACTATTTCCTGACTTTGTTGATTTAGCTTGGTCATCACAAATTTGTGACTTGCTCTGTGTGTGTGTGTGTGTGTGTGTGTGTGTGTGTGTGTGCGCGCGCGCATTATTTTCTATCCACAGATACTTTTATCTACATAAGGAACTTTCTTGAATATTATTCAGAATAGTGATCATCATTCAGAACATTTGAGGAACAAATAAAGAGGAAAAACAACAAAAACACAAATTTCAATGATCAACATAAAGTGACATTACCATTTGACAGCAGAGAGGGCGGTGATGTAGCTCAGTGGAGTATGTGCTTAGGAGTATAATGCCAACGAGGTGTGGTAGGGTACACCTTTAATCTCAGCACTTAGGAGGCAGAGGCAGGCAAACCTCTTTGAGTTAGAAATGCCTAATCTACAGAGTTCCAGGCCAGCTGGGGCTACAGGGAGACATCATCTCAGGGAAAAAAAGGAAAGAGGGAGAAATAAGAGTACAAAGCTTGGGTTCAAATCCTCAGTGTTACAGGTATGTACATTAGTAACTAAGTAAATAGACAACAGATGCCTCAGTGTGTAAAATAGCTGGAGTTTAACTGTATACCAAAAGTTACAAACATTACAACATGCACAAACGTATATGCCTATCAGACTGCTATTTGTTAATCTCTGTATGGTTGTTTTATGAAAGTTCATTAAAATATTTTAGAAGATACTAAATACTGTCAGAAAAATTACATTCACCCAAGTTGCCTCAATTATACTGAGGCAACCAGTATACCATTTTTCAGCTTCTAAGCTTTTGAGAAAAAAAAAAACCTGAGTTAAGCATGGAATGTTAGTATGTGTTATAAAAATCTACTCTGACATTACCTGAAAAAGTTCTCTCACATCTTCCAGCCTTCCACAGTTTAATAGTCTTGTCTGCTGATCCAGTTAACATCAAACCCTGTTCAGGTAAAATCTTTACTGCCCAGACTGCGGCTGTGTGACCCTGTGAGTAAAATGGGTATCAATTTAAGCTGCCACAGAATCTCCATACTAATTTATTATATAAAATTCACACAGAAATGATACCTGTAATGTCATCATGCATTTGTCATTCAGCCAAACTTTAGCAGTGGTGTCCCATGAGCCACTAAGTAATGTCCCAAATTTTCCAGATGAAAGACTACAAACTAAGGGGGAAAAGTCATTAGTTAATACATTTTCATGATGACAAATACTTAACCTGGCAAATTTCTAAATCTTACAATTTTTAAACAACTTTATGAAGTGACAGTTTCTTACCCAATTAAGGTTCTATTTGGTGGACATGGAAAAGAGCACAATGGTCTGGACCCTAATAGGCTCTGGTGTTAGAATGTCTGCAACAAGGCCTAGCTGAGCCATTTACAAGCTGTGTGACCATAAAGCTATACTTAAGATTCCTTTTTTTTTTTTTTTTTAAAGATTCACTGTCATTTCTTTATTATCTTTACTTTATGTGTATGAGTGTACTGACTGCACACATCTAAATGCACTCATGTCATGCAATGCCCACGGAGGTGAGATGACGAGTATTGGATTCCCTTGGAAATGGAGTTATGGACATTTGTTAGCTGCCAAGTGGGTGCTGGGAATAGAACCCCAGTCTTCCCCAAGAGCAGCCAGTGCTCCTAACTGCTGAGTCATTTCTCCAGCCCCGATTCATTCTCATTTTTATTTATGTTTATGAGTCTGTATAAGGGAACCTGCTGAGGCCCAAAGAGGGTGTTGGAGTCTGGAGCTAGAGTTGCAGGCAGTTGTGAACTGTCTGATGTGGGTGCTAGAAACTGAACTCAGGTCCTCTGGAAGAGCAGTACATACTCTTAGCCACTGAGCCATCTCTCCAGCCCTGATAAAAGCAATTCTTAAAAGACTTAACTTAAAGCTTCTGCAGTATTTGATTGTTCTTTTGATTCTTTAAAGTCAAAGTGCCCGGAAGTCAGAAAACCCCAAAGATTACTGGAATGTTCTATTATTACTTCATTCACACACAAAAACACTAACAACCTTATTGGAAAGTTAATTTAAGTTTTTCTTTTAGAAAACTTTAATAACTCATCTCTAAAACTTTATAACATATCATTTATTTCTTATGAAAAATATTTCAAGCTGAATTTATGCAGTAAGTCCCAGTTTTTAAAACTTTAGGAACAGGAAGACTTAAATGCTTCATCTTGAGGGGCTGGAAAGATAGCTCAGGAATTAAGAGCACCGGCTGCTCTTGCAGAGGACCCAGGTTTGGTTCCCAGTACCCACATGGTGGCTAATAACCATTCATAACTCCAGTTCATAACTCCAGACCTGACACCCTCTTCTGACCTCCGTGGACACTAGATGACATGGGTACACTTACATACACGCAGACAATATGCTCATACACATAAAATTAAAACAAAACATATTTAAAAAATGTCTCATCTTGATGTATTGGAAGTGATTTTTTTTAAAAATTTATTATTTTTATTTTATTTAATGTGTATGTGTGTATTGCCTGCATGTAGATAAGTGCACCCGTGTTGTGCAATGCCCACAGAGGTCAGAAGAGGTTGTCAGACCCCCTGGGACTGGAGTTTCGGACAGTTGTTAGCTGCCATGTGGGTGCTGGGATTCGAACTCAGGTCTTCTGCAAGAACCAGTGTTTTTAACCGCTGAGCCATCTCTCTGTGTGGCATAATTGAAGACACATTATTTATAAAGCCCAGAAAATATTTATTACACATTAATTTTAAAATCAAGCAGAAAGAATGAATTGCAAAATAAACATATTGGATAAGTATAAGGCAGAATTCAGTTTTGAATATGCAGGGGAAAATAACTTTAGGATCTAAAATAATACAAAATAAAATACACTGCCCAGAATCACAACTGGTAATACAACAGGCAAAGTATACAAGTAATATTCACTAAAGACAGTAGCTCACACTTCTGATCTCCACATCTGGAGGCTGTCTCACACAGACAGAGCACAGGACAGCATTACTTGCTTCAAAACCAATCCTGGCTAAAAAACTGACAAAAGTTGATATGCCACTAATTTCTTCATTCATGACTCATTAGTGTAATATGCTAGAAAAATGAAATGACACAATACTCTGGTTTCTCTTCAGAGTGTATAAATCTTTTTTTTTTTTTAAAGGAAATGACATTTGGCCTTGGCAACAAAAGATGACTTCAAGAAATTAGAAATCAATCAGCCAGAAAAAAAATTCTCCAGAAGGTAAAGCTGTATTTTTATTGTCTGGATTTCCTTGAGAACTTAAGCACTATGAAGGACCAAGACAGAGTTTTACATTCTGAGAAGAAAAAAAAACACATGCAAAGGAAAACAGTCAGAATAACTGCACTTCATATCAAAAAGCTACAGCTCTAATTTATAAACAGTTTGTATGTGGTGTGTCTGCATGCTCTGCACGTACCTGTGCACCCACAGAGGCCGATGGAGGACACTGAGTATCTTCCTCTATCACTTTTATCATTCTTTTATCTTGAGATGGAGTCCATCTATCCATCCATCATCCATCCATCACATTTTTGAAAAGGAGGGTCTCACTATGTAGCCCTGGCCAGCCTTAAGCTCTATGTAGAGCAGGCCAGCTTTGAACTTGGGGTGATCTTCCTACCTCAGCTTCTTGAGGGCTGGGATAATGGGTATGTGCCACTATACCCTGTTACACGAGGCTATTTATAAAGACATTATACTATCAAAAGACTGGAAATTCTGGTGCTGACCACACCTGTCCATTCCATAAACCATTTATTTATTCCATAAATAGCTGCATGGGTTATAATAATGATGTATTACACAGCAATAAAGGGGATGAAAAAGATTATTATATACTGTAATGAAGTAATCTCCATGTGCTGGATAGCTTTAGTGTCAACTCGACACACCTGGGTTGAGGGAGCCTCAACTGGGGAACTGCCTCCATTGGACTGGCCTGTGGCCATGTCTGTGGAGCATTTTCTTGATTGTGAGTGATGTGGGGGGGCCCATTCCACTGTGGGTGGTGCCACCCTTGGGCAGGTGGGCCTATGTTGTATAAGAAAGCAGGCTGAGTAGGGGCCAGGGGAGCAAGCCATTAAGCAATGTTCCTCCATGGCCTGTGCTCCAGCTCCTGCCTCCAGGTTCCTGCCCTGAGTTCCTAACCTTGGGATCCCTGATGAACTGTGACCCGAGAGATGTAAGCTGAATAAATCCTTTCCTCCCCAAGTTGGTATTGGTCAGAGTATTTTGTCATAGCAATGAAGAAACAAACTAGGACACTCCACAACATTATCAAGGAAAAATAAAACAAAATATTGTACATAATGTATATCCTATCTAAGAAAGGGAGAACATAAATCTATATACACATTTGCTTTTTTTCTTTTAAGGAAAAGCAAAGTTAATAAAAATTTATTTTCAAGAAGGCAACACAGAACCTAATTTTCTTTGCCTATGTTCCTAGTTAGTGGTTTTTGCTCAAAACTATGCTTTGCATAATCATATAATACAATTAAGTAAAAAATGTTGTTGAGCTCCATTTAGAGCTCAAACTTGAGATTTCTAAATCCATTTCTCAGTAAACAGCAATAAGGAAAAAAGCAGGGCTCCTTGCTGAAAAGCTGCCTTCGGGTTTAGAGCAAGACATGCACAAGTGAAACCAGAATATTCTCTAGTACCAGAAAGCAAGGAGACTACCAAAGGTCTAATCAGAAGGTCAGACAGAGGTGCAGAAGAGGTTTCCAATGAACAATTTTAGAGTACTGGGTTCAGACAATTATCAGTAGCTATTAAATATTAGCACTGTATAAAAGATTGATGAGAACTTTACACTGAACAGATGATCCAACACTTAAGTCCAAGGAGCAATCTTACCATCACAAACAGATGGACTGGGGACACAGCTCAGTGGTAGAGTGCTAGTAGAGTGCTTACCTAGAGTAAGTCTGGGTTCGAAACGGATTTTACGTGCTTCTTGATGCAATATTACAGAAAGCACACAACACTATAACATCATCCTGCCAAAAATCTGAACTTGAGTGTCACGAAGCTTCTAGAATACAAGCTACAGACTGTAAGACATACTGGAGACTCAAGCAAATGTTAGAAGATACTCACCAAAACTCAAACCGGGAAATTCTTCAGGGATACTAATCTAGTTTCAAATAGGAAGGGAAAACAATGGAAAGGAGCCGTTGAAAAGACTTATGGTCATGCTTGTCTTTATAGACATTATACTAACAAAAGATTAGAAGGACTTACTGATGACCTGGTGGCACAAGCCTGCAATCCCAGCTACCCAGAAAGCTAAAGCAGTAAGATCACAAACTTAAGGTCTACCTCAGCTACAGAGTGAGCCCAAGGATATGTTGAGCAATTTACTAAGATCCTGTCTCAAAAGTAGTAAAAAGAGATACAGCTCAGTACTGGAGCACTTGCCAACATGTGAGAAATCCTAAAGATTTATTGAAAAGCAGACATGTTGATTCATTAATTTAAACTAGACATGCTTTTGCATGAGTAATTATAACAGCAACCATATGGCCTGAAAAGCATAATACATTTAATAACTGAACCTTTACAGAAAAAGTTTGCAATGTGTTAGTTACATATTGAAATACTCTAGAAAAAAAATAGTATGATATCAAGAATTTCATTTTAAAATAATAGCATGGTAGGGGTTGGAAAGATGGCTCAGCAGTTAAGAGCACTTGATGCTCTTGCAGAAGACCAGGGTTTGAATCCTCGCCCCCACATGGTGGCTAACAACCATCCATACCAGTTCCAGGGGAATCTGATACCCTTTCTGACCTCTACGGGCTTTGCACAACACGGATGCACTTACATATACATGGGCAAGATGCTCACACATATAAAATAATAAATAAAATATTTAAAAATATTATAAAATACCAAGTATAATTTGTATACATCTGAAGCATTCTATAATAAAAAAAATTTATATCTCTATCATTCTATCAAAACACAACACATGCTGGGTGTGGTTATACACACCTTTAATCTCGGCATTTACAAGGCAGAAATAGGCAGATCTCTTGAAGTTCAAAGCTAGCCTGGTCTACATAGCAATTCCAGGCTAGCCAGGGCTACATAGTGAAACCCTGTCTCAATATAATAAATAAATAAATAAATAAATAAATAAATAAATACACACACACATACAGAGGCTGGAGAGATGGCTCAGTGGTTAAGAGCACTGACTGCTCTTTCAGAGGACCCAGGTTCGAATCCCAGCACCCATACGGCAGTTAACCACCATCCCTGACTACAGTTCCAGGGGATCCAATGCCCTCTTCTGATGTCCTTGGGCACTGAATGAACAGGTACACTTGTATATGTGCAGGCAATACACTCATACACACAAAATAAAAATAAAATATTAAAAAGAGCCAAAAACACATATATACAAACATTTTACTATTCTTTACAGGAATTAAATTTTAGGTGTTTATTAGCTCATGTCCAAAAGTATTCTACACATACAAATATAGGTGTATGCATGTTTAGGGGCTGGAAAGGTAGCTCAGCAGTTAAGAGTATGATCTGCTGCTCCTACAGAAGACCCAAGTTTGGTTCCCCATACTCACACTCGGTAGCTCACAACTGCCTGCAACTTCAGCTCCAGGGAGATTGCACACTTCTGACCTCCATAGGCACCTGTACGAACTCGTGCCTACACTCACAAAGACACATGCACATATGCTTAATTAAAAATAATAAAACCAAATCTTCAGGCTGGAGAGGGAGCTGAGCGGTTAAGAGCAATTGATGCTCTTGCAGAGGACCTGGGTTTCGGTCCCAACACCCACATGGAGGCTAACAACCATCTATAATTCCAATTCCTGGGGATCTGGAACCCTCTTCTGGCCTCCAAGGACAGTCATGCATATTGCACACTCACATGCAGGCAAAACACTCAAATACATATTTAAAACATTTTTTATTTCACTATTTTTATTTTATGTGTATGCATGTATTGCCTGCATGTAGGTAAGTGCACCCACATCGTGCAATGCCCACAGAAGACAGAAGGGGCTGCTGGATACCCTGGAACTGGAGTTTCTGACAGTCGTTAGCTGCCATGTGGGTGTTGGGATTTGAACCCAGGTCTCCTGCAAGAACAATGTTCTTAACTGCTAAGCCATCTCTCCAGCCCCTCAAATACACACTTTAAAATAAATCTTAAAAAATGAAATAAAAAAGCCAGGCGTGGTGGTGCACGCCTTTAATCCTAGCACGTGGGAGGCAGAGGCAGGCGGATCTCTGTGAGTTTAAGGCCAGCCTGGTCTACATAGTGGTTCCAGGACAGCTGGGGCTACAGGGAGACTGTCTCAAAAAGACCAAAAAAAGAAGAAATAAAAATAAGTACATATAACCACACTGAGTAAACATATCATTTTATAACAAAGCTGTTAAGCCACACACAAGTCCAGGATTATCACAGAATCAAGAATATACACAAATCAGAGAATGCTATTCAGAAGCATTTACTCTTCAATAATGATTCCAGATCCATAGGCACATTCCTTCTGTCTTCTATTTGCTGCATCAATACAGAGATAACAGCCAAAAGACATAATTTTCCTAAGTAAATAACTTCTTTACACAAAATAGCAGAAACTCCAAAATTATGACATATATTAAAATTATATAGCCTCTTCCTTTTATAATCAAACACTTCACTTTCTCTATTTATATAGGCTTGAGACATAGCTCAGTGGCAGAGGCTTCCTAGTATGCAGGAGACGCTAGGTTTGATCCCCAGTACAAAAAAGAAAACCTACTTGCATATGCCAATCTTTAAATGTGTAACTAAATTTAAAACAGAGACCTCAATCAAAACATTTCAAAAAGTTTTTCACTAACAAACACTGCTCAATACACAAGCAGAAAGGTATGTGAATTTTAATTCAAGGGGTGCAACTTCCACAGATAGAAAAACACCAGCATGCCATACTTACCAGTATCTTTGTGACCTTTTAAAATATAAAGCGGCATTGGACTGTCCAGTGAGAAAATGCAAATGTTGTGGTCATTTCCTCCAGTGGCAATGAGTCCATGAGGATATACGTCACTTGATGGTATGATGCAGACACAAGACACAAAATTAGAGTGGCCACTCATACAGTGCATTTCTGTAAAGCCCCTGTGAGGACTGGAAAGACAAGGTGATTAGTAGACATAACCCCCTGACTTACCCTAGGAAATCAAACACAGAAGTTCTCATCTTCATTTAGTATTCGGGCTGAATATTAAGAGTATGTGCCATTCTAAGAACCCATTGCTTTAAATTAAACATGAAATAGCTAAATTACATGAGGTGCAATAAGGGATTATAACAGACTAGGAAAATCTTGACATGTTTCCTCGATAAGAGGATATTAATTAACATGAAAAACAAGGAAAGAGCAGGAAACAAATATTCCAAGTGGCCTTTTCTCCCTCTCCCTTCTCACTCTACTTTCAGTTACTGTTACTCTAGGACTGTGACGTGAAACCCGTGAAATTAGGATAAAGGAATCCAGGTTAGTAAAACAACTATACTCAATGAAGTATTAGCTTAGTATTCATTAGTGTATGTCCATCTAAACAGCTAGAAAAAAAAAAAAAGGAGCTGATATACTGCTCAGGGCAAACGATTATGAATTTGTTACACACATTAATTACATAGCATCACTGTTTTACTTAACAAGTCAAACAACAGGGTATGATATGCTATGTGGAAAATATTAAACTAGTCTAGTTATTAAGAGGCATAAAGAGTTATAGCCCTACCTAAAGCTAAACCAAAGAGTTTGCAGTCTAGTTGAAGGAGATAAGGCAAATGCACATAAAAAGATAAAATTCCTGGATTAAAAGCCTGTCTATTTTTGCTTCTTTCCCAAACCCCACTAAACTATCAGTTTAAATATAAGCAGTAGTTTATAATACAACTTCAAGCACTGAAAGCTGACAGGCAAGGAGTAAAGGCTAAGGAGACCTGTGAAAAATGACTTCTATGCCAGCAGTAGGGAAAGCGGACCAAGCGGCCCCTCCCCTAAGATTCTTTGAAGATGCTAATTAGGGTAGGAGTACCCAAAATCCTTCTCCACACTTAAGACAGCAAATGGCATGGGCAGAATTTGTCTGCTGGTACTATTTTGAACTGTGGTATCAACTGAAGGCTTGCAACTTCCAGCAGAAGGCACACATAATAAACTGAATTTTTATTTTATTGGTTGGTTGATTTTTCTGGGATCAAGGCCTGCATACTATATTCCCAGCTCCCTGAAGTTAATTTTGATCTATTTCAGCAACTCACACTGCAGTAGCTACCTATCCCTTACCTACCAGCCCCATAATGGGTGATCTTCCACACATTCCTGGAGCAGACTACACACAGATGCAAGAGCCAGATGGGACACAGAAAATCCTGTCCTCCAAATATCAGAGGTCTGTTCTCTGACCAGTTTGACTTCAAAAGCAGGCAGCCAGCGCTGTGGCTTCTTGCCTTCCCAGTTCTTGCAAACAACACTTGCCTCTCTAGCTGAAGTGACTTCCAAGGAATTTAAAGGACCAAGGCCCATTTCACCCCTTCAACTTTCTCCTTTTCCATTTTTGAGGCCAGACAATAAAAACTAGAATACTGATAGCCAAGAGCAGGGTACATGTCTATAATTCCGGCACTCAGGAAGTTAAGGTCAGAAGACTAAATTCAAAGCCAGTCTTGTTTATATAGGAGACTCCCCTCTTCAAAATACAAAATAAAAGAACGACCCTAAAATTAGGATGTGGCAAAAACAACTGCATATAATATGGAAAGTTAGAAAGTGAATATGCATGCTAAATGAAAACCACTTGAGTGAAAAGATCTAGGATCCCAAATCTACAGACAGATGAAAGTCAGTGAGCTTGAGGGCAGCAAAGTAGAACTGATCAAGTCTGAGTAAGACGGGTGTTAACAGATAGGGCCTGTGAAACCTATGGAAACAATGAACCACACACATATACTCTGTGACAGCTCCAAAATGGGGAAAGAGGGGAGAGCAGAGAGACTATTTAGTCAAATAACGGCTGAAAAAAAGAAACACATAACAAAATAAACTCAAATTTGATGGAAGATATGAATATATACATCTCTAAAAATTTCAAGATAAGGTGACCCATACCTTACAGTGACAAAAGTGATACATCAAATACAATCCTCAAAAAGATACTAGGCTTGGGCTGGCAAGATGGCTCAGCAAGTCAAAGTGCTTGCTACCAAGACTGATGACCTGAGTTCTAATCCTAGGACCCTCATGGTAGAAGGAAGAACTACCTTCTGCAATCTGTCCACACCTACACACACAAGCACAACATAATAGATACATTTTTAAAACTTTAAATATAGCTGGGCATGGTAAGCACATGTCTTTAATTCCAGCACTTAGGAGGCAGAGACAGGTGGATCTCTGTGAGAGTGAGGCCAGCCATAGCAAGTTCTAGGCTAGCTGGAACTCAGGAAGACCTCTCAAAAGCAAACAAATGTATATATGTAATATATACAAGAAAAACGAAAATGAGGTTTCATTGAAAAAAAAAAAAAAACCCACCTAAATTTAAGAGACACTACTGTAGGAAATGAGAACTTTAAAAAGCTGTAAAGGCATACCAAAACAAATAGAAAAATGCACTAACTTTAAATATCAATGGACTAGACTCTTCAATCAAAAGACAGATCAGCAAAACAAAACAAAACAAAATCTAAATACATGTTGTCTACAAGGCTCACTTTAGATCCCCCAAAACACTGGAAAAAGATACTCCACACAAATGGTACGGAGAAGAAAGCCAGGGGCAGCTGTACTAATATTAGCTCAGACAGACTTTGATTAAAGTAGTACTGAGCCAAGTATGACAATGTATACTACTAAACTCACATGCCAGGTGTGCTGACACATGCCTGAGAGTCCAGTGAATGAGGCTACACAGCAAAACCTCGCCCCAAGAAAACAAAAAGGAACAAATGGAGCAACATTATTTAATATTGTACCTAACAAGAGATCATCAAAATATAAAAACTGACAGAGCTGAAAGGACAGTTCTACTGTAACAACCGAAGACTTCAATATCCTGCTCTCAACAATGGACAGAAGCATACACAAAATGAGCTGGGGTCTGGGAATACAGATCAGTAGCAGAACATCTGCCTAGCCATGGGTAAGGCCTGGGTTCAATCCTCAGCAAGACCAAAATATAAAAAAGTAAGGAAACAGAGAACTTCAACACATTAAACCAACATTCTACCAAAGAACAGGACACCATGGAAAACAGTACAGCAGTTCCTTCTATTAATTAAAAGCAATCAGTATATGATCCAATAACTTTCACTTTTGAGTATATTTCCAGTAGAAACAAAAGCACTCTTAAAGAGATACTTACATAATCATGTTCATAGCAGCAATGTTTATGATAGTTAAAATGTCCACCAATGGATGAATGGATAAGGAAAGTACACTATATACAAAGAGAACTTTAGTCAGCTTAAAAAGGCAGAAATTCTGACACATGCCACAATATGGATGACTTGTGAGGACAACATGCTATGTGAAATTCATGAGTTACAAAAAGACAATTACTGTATGAGTCCACTTCTACGAACTACAAGTTACTTAAGGGTGGAAACGGCAGACATAAGTAGAATGGGGGCCGCCAGGAGCTAAAGGAGGGGACAAAGTGCAGTTATTACTTTAATGGGGGTACAGTTTCAGTTTTACAAGATCAAGTTATGAAGATGGATGGTGGTGATAGTGTTACAACATTATGATGCCTTAAATACCACTGAACTATACATCTAAAACTAGTTAAATGGCCAATTTTGTTATGCATTTTACAATTAAAAACAAAACAAACAAAAAAAACCCCAACTGGACAGGGAAGACAGCTCAGTGGTTAAGCGCTCAATGCCATGCAAGCACAAGAGCCTGAATTTGGATCCCCAGCACCCACATAAAAAGCAAGGCCTGTGTGTGAGCACCTTAACCCAAGTGCTGCCTGGGAAGACAGACAAGAGGACTCTTGGGGCCTGCTGGCCAGCAGCCTAGCCGAAAGTCTAGCTGAAAACTAACAGGTTCAGAGAGAGACCTTATCTCAAGGAAACAAGGCAGAGTAACACAGCAGGACACTTGTCCTCCCCTGGCCTCTACACACACATACAAACAAAACAAAAAAACATTTTTTTCCTTTTTTTAAGTTGGACCCAGGTGTGTAGGACATATGGATTACAAGTTCAAAGTTCAGCCTAGGCTACACAATTAAACTATGTCTCAAAAAAGGGAAAAAAAGGGAGGGGGGTGAGTCCCTGGAGAGGTCATCAGTTCAACAAAGCTCTTTAAATGACAACAAAGAGGCCAGACCCTTGTAATGAGGACCAGTAGTAACTTTTCAGAATCTCTCAGAAGCTCAATCATAAGAAAAATTATGATGTTATCTGGTAGTAATTTTTCATTTATCCACTTCACTTTAGTGGCTTTTTACAAATATGCTTTTGAAATAATTTTATTAATAAGCTCAGAGAAAGTTAAAAGATACAATATATTTTAAAATCTCTCCAGGGCTGGAGAGGTGGGTCAGTTGGTTAAGAGTATTCCCTACCCAAGTATAAGGACCAGAATTCTGACTGCAGCTCCCAAGGAAAAGTTGGGTGTGACTCCACCAACTCCCAGTAATCTCAGAACGGACAGGGGCAAGGACAGGAAGAGCACAGGGGCTGGCACAGTATCAGCCTAGATGAAACAAACAGAAGCTCCAGGTTCAGCAAAAGACCTTGCCTCAGAGAAGCAAGGTGGACACCCTCTTCTGGCCTCCTTGTGAGCAGTCCTGTGTACCTGTAACACATCTCACACACACCACACATGTATACTCATATGCATACATTTTTTAAAGTAATCTAAAACAAATCAAAACAAAAACTGAATAATCTCTCTATTTGTTTTTGAAGCAGAGTCTTGTTATACAGCCCCAAGTTTAGCTCAAACTAATGATCCTCCTGCTTCAATCTCCTGAGGCCTGGGATTTCAACCATGCAACATCACACCCAGCATAAAGATCAGTATGTATTATGTAAACCATCAACTCTACCTATGTGAGTAACTTAGCATTTCTCAACCTAGATGTTTCTGTGTATTATCTACAGTGGTCTATTAGGTTCTTAGTGGTAGAATCTGGATCTTGTTCTCCTCATATCTTCCCAAGTTCCTACCATAACATTTCACATGGTAAGCATTAAGTATTCTTAAGTTAATGAAAAGATACTTAAAAGTATTGGTGGGGCTGGACATGGTGGTGCACGCCTTTAATCCCAGCAGTCTGGTGGCAGAGGCAGACGGCTATGAGTTCAAGACCAGCCTGGTCTACACTGTGAATTTAGGCCAGCTGGGGCTACAAGGAGACCTTGTCTCAAAAAGACAAAAAAAAAAAAAAGTACTAGTGAGAAACTAAAAAGAAACTAGGCACCATGAGTGCTCAGGGGCCCACAGAATATCAAAACAGTCGTGGCCTGCCTGTGAAATTATGGCAGGTTGGGGCTTAAAGAGACCCTGGTCTAAAAAAAAAAAAAAAAAAAAAAGTACTAGTGAGAAACTAAAAAGAAACTAGGCACCATGAGTGCTCAGGGGCCCACAGCCCACTTGTTAAAACTTAACAAAAACCAGAACCAGCCTTATCAAAAGGCTGCAGGACAGAGGACAG